TGCAATCCAACACGACCAGCGGGAAGTCAGGCGTAACATTAATAATTTTAAGTGCTTTCCGAAGCACAGATGTAAAACACTTTCTACTTTCAGACTGCAGGTTGCTACTGCTGAGATTTTCTTGGCAGAAAAACCCAATAACTGATTTTGGTCCGATCCGGGACCTAATGATCACATGATGTGGGACGTTTGCGATGTGTGTATGTGCGTACGTGCGTGCAGGTGTGTGACGGAGGATGAACAGTCGCAGTGGCCAGCGGCTCAGCTGGCCACGCACGCCTTTCTGCTGCCGGCGCCCACGAGTGCGCCTCTCTCCCCCGCCCCGCACACGCCCCACTCTCAGCACACTCCATCCGCCACAACCGCGCCGAACCACCACCTGCAGGTACGTCGCTAATATACTATATAAATTTATAAAAGTCCATCGATAGACATGGGCCTCGAAAGACTTGCCTTATTGTCACGCTTGGTCGATGATCGACAACTAACAAACGTGAGCATCAGTGACGCTAATGATTTTTTATATTTACACGCACACTGTACATCAACATCGTTATCCTTATTCAAATTTCCCAAAGAGAATGGCTGAAACAATGTCTATTCTATTACGTATGTTGTATTTCAATTATTGCTCAGGCATATACAATAATATCTAAACCGTTGGTCAACCTACTGTACGTACAATAAGTTACACTTTAGCCTTAATACATGCTAAACCATGAACTTTTTTACCCTTCATAAAAATAATATAAATAAAATCACTCTCTCACGTATCATCCTTGGCAGGAATCGATATTCTTTCGTGAGGATTTGTGGTCTATTAAATCTGATGTTATGGCGGGGGCCGTCTAGGATATGATCACAAAATGCAGACTTTCCGGAACGTTAGTGTTTCCTTTCAGCTATATTGCATGCCTTAAGCGCAAAGCGCGTAAGTATGTTATACTAACGCCTAAAATCAAGAATGCAACGTTTTGTCTCATGAAATTGTATCTAACAATCATATTGAACAAATAAATTTTTTTTTATCCATTAATTGCTTTTTTTGCATTAAAAAGTGGTTTAGTGGCTTACAGTTTCATTTCTCAAGTCCGCATGGCAAATAGAATTGGTTGAACAATGTTCGATTGTTCAACTCAATCTATTTTTAATCTCTTCATCTATTATGTGGGAAGCCATAGAATGTAAATGGCTGTTTAATTTTGTTTTGTTTAGTTATAATTTTTTTTTTCTGCTGAGAAATTCCGAAATTTTGGAAGTTCCAGTGGCTTTGTATAGAAAATATTTTATTAAATTAAGATCCATTTTGACTTTATGCGCCGTCGTGAGTGGATTACTGTATCGTTTGTTTACAGCAGCTCGTGAAGAAAAAATAGATCGCTGTAGAAATACAGAATATTCCAAAAACCAAACTTGATACATACTTGACCTAGGTAAGATATTATTATTTTTATAATCACAGATTTTCATTTTAATATATTGTATCGCTAAAAGAGCGTAGGTTTTATATATAAATATACTTATATCTTATACGTCTTGGACTTTATGGAGCGACCTGAGTAAATGCTAAATGAAAATACTGGTTGCACATGACTATATGAAAAACTTTTTAAAAACGAAATTAAGTTGATGAAAAAAAGAAATGATTAAGAGCCCTCTTACATTTCGGCGTTACGCAAATTTAGGTATTTTATGCACCGTGCGGTAGCCTAACTCGCGAGCGATACGTTCTTTCATATCTATTCACTCGCTCGCACTATGATACTGTGAATATAGCGACCAAACGATCTTGATCTTCTGGTTGGTCGGCGGGCCTAGGGGTTCCCGAGTTCGATTCCCAGGTCGAGCCTTGACCCTATTGTGCGAGATGTTATACTAGATGGACTGTATACGCGGATGGCTTCTTATGCCTCAACAAGATGGCGGACGTGGCACGCGACAACCTTGGACAATGCACTCGCTCTTCCAAATCTATTGCTTGCCAAGGTTAGGATGGAATTCTACTTGAGCCAATAAGGAGAAACAAAATGGGGCGAGTTAGTTAATGAACAAAAGGCTCAAGTAGCGAATAATTGGAGACACGCTTACCGGGGTGTGATTCTGATGCTGCGGACGACGCTTCCGTTGCGGTGGTATGTTGAAAAATAGGAGCTGGCGCGACGTGAGGTGGTTTCTTCTGGGGCGCCCCAGGCGAGGCCAGATGCGATCCAGGCTGGCGGTGCGGAGCAATAGCGGTGCGCGACGATATCTCACACTATGTGAGGCGGTTACTTCTGGGGCGCGACTGCCCCAGGTGGTGCGATTCAGAGTAGCGGTGCACGAAGGTAAGAGAGCGCTCGAGGGCCGCGCGCGAAGCTTTATTGTCTCGGCTTTCCCACGAATTCACCTCGGTGGGGCGCGCGTTTCATTGGTCGAAAGCATCGCGTCACCTTTTAGACCCCCCCTCCTTTTCCCCTTTCAGTGTGTACGGAAGGGACATGAGGCTTAAGGAAAGGACAAACACTTGGCTGCAATATACTCTCGAACAAATGAAAATACACAAATCATTTCCGCGTAACCATCCCCCCCGGCTTGAAGGGTCCCCTTCAAAATAACTAACGCTAAGATTAAACCTAATTTTCGACTATAATTTCTAATCTAGAAAGCTAATTCAAACTATTGATTGGGCAAAGGGCACAAACGGACAACAGGGCGCATGTAAGACCCGGTTGTGGTCCTAACGCGAGCTAGCCTAGTTACCCCGTCGGAACCGGGAAAAACTTCTTCGACGATCCCTAATGGCCAATGGAGAGGCGGCGTATTCTCTTTGGTGAGTACAACCACAGTTCCGATAGTTAAAGGTTCAGTTGTTGTGTTCCATTTTTTTGCCGAGACTGCAACGTATGCAAATATTCCGTCTTCCATCGTTTCCAAAACGACTGCACCAACAGGTCCAATAATTTATGGCGTGCAGAAATACTAAGTTTGTCCTCGTCTATGTCTATGGCGGGCAGATATTTCAAAGGCGTTAAATTCAAAAAAATGTGCTTGAGTTAGAGCCAGAGGCTCCGAGGGGCACTTGACAACGTATGACAAAGGGGGCGACTATTCACGATACACTCAATTTGAGCGAGCACAGTACTTAACTCTTCGAAGGACAAAATTTGATCTCCTATTACTCGGTATAAATGGCTCTTTAGACTCTTAATATTAGTCTCCCAATTTCCCCCAAAATGGCTCGCGGCGGGGACGTTCAGAGACCACTCGATGCGGTTCTCGGCTAGGATGTGAGCGAACTCCGAATTATAATATTTACTGGTTAGAAGCTCGTGTACTTCTGATAAAATACGTTTCACACCGACGTAGCTTGTACCGTTATCCGAATACAATTTACTTACATGGCCACGGCGGGAAAGGAATCTTTTAAATGCACCCATGAAGCCCGCTGTGCTTAGATCACCAACGAGTTCTATATGCACAGCACGAGTAGTCAGACATACGAAAATGCAGACGTAAGCTTTTGTGGATCTTATACCACGCCCGCGAGTGAGCGTGACCTTAAACGGACCAGCAAAGTCAGACCCGGTGTGCGTAAAGGGCTTTGCGGATTGTGTTACACGACAAGACCTAAGGTCCGCCATTTCCGGAAATGACTGCTTAGGACGTACTCGAAAGCAAGCCATACATCTGTGCACCCGATTGCGGATTAAATTACGTGCAGAAAGAATCAAATAATTCTGACGCAAGATTGACATCAACAAGTCGGGGCCAGCGTGAGAATTTATTTTATGCTGGTAATCAAGTAATAAATTCATGATATGGTCCTTACGCGGTAAAACTATAGGGTGCCGTTGATCGAAACTCAACTGCGAGTTAGACAAGCGCCCACCTACCCTAACGATTCCATCTTGTAAAAATGGCTTAAGGCGTTGAAAAGCGCGACTACAAGTTCTATTCGATTGTAATCTTGTAATTTCATCGGAAGAATGCGCACGTTGAAGTTCACGCAATACTAGCAACTCGGCATATCTGTAATCGGACGCTACGATATACAAACGTCGCGGCAGAAGCTTCGCGAATCGACAAACGTAAATCACGCTATGCAATAATTTCGACCAAGAGGATAAACGGTTCGCCAAAGCAATGATTGGAGAAACCTCGCTCGAAACGTTCGCAACCAGAGCGTGCCTCTTCTCTTCCGGTGGTTGGGACACTGACGAAGGGTCGAAATCGGTTATTGGCCACTGCGAGGGTTCCAAGTGAACCCAAGAAGGTCCGTGGAACCAAAGCGGGTGGTCCATTATTTGCATCGGGATAGACAATCGGCAGGGTTTTCCGTATCGGACACGTCATAAAAGTTCCGTGATCTTAAATCGTCTTGGATCTTGGCCACTCGGTTCGCGACAAACGTATCCCAACGGTGGGGTGAAGAATGAACCCAACATAAAGCGACGGTTGAGTCAGAAAAAGCAAATATTCTTTCTATGTGAACTCTATCACTACATGCGCTAGTAACTGCGGTGATAAGCTTGGCAAGGACTAATACCGCGCAAAGTTCTAGGCGCGCGAGAGAGACAACCTTACGGGGGAGACCCTTGACTTAGGATTAATGAGGCTGATCGAGTTTCTACCATTATTCTGGACGTGAAAATATACAACGCCCCCGTAAGCCTTCTCGCTAGCGTCTGCAAACCCAACGACAGTGATGACGCTATTTCTATCGACGTTTATATGACGTGGTATTTTAATTTTTCTTAGTAAAGGAAGTTCCTCTCTAAAACGTAGCCACGAACGAACAATACTATCAGGCGGCGGGTCATCCTAATCGCATTCACATAACCAAAGTTGTTTAATCAAAAGCTTAGCGTATAGCACCACCGCACCGGGGCTACGAAACCCATGACATATCATAATCTAGCAACGCATGACAGCATTGTGCGCTTTGTGCACGTTTCTACGGGCGGGTTTACGAAAACACGTCGGACTCCGGTGACCAACACAAACAGAGCACCTTGTGCGTATCAGAATCGTCGAATTCCTTTATCGCCGAAAGGCGGTGTGATAGTGGGATTGTATCTAAAACCGTACGCGAATTACTAGTCCACTTGACGAGATCGAATTGACCCGATTTCATGAGCTTCATAACTTCGGCGGTGGTTAGGATGGCCTCCTTTACGCTATCGACCGAGTACACAAAATCATCCATATTTAAACCACTCTCAATTGCCCTCTTAGCTTTAGGATAAAAGGGACCCTCATCAAAGGCGAGCTGTTTCACCGTGCGTAGCGCATGAAATGGGCTCGACTATAAACCAAAACAAACGCGATTAAATTCAAACACCATTAGAGGTTCCTTTGGGTCAAATCGATATAAAATGCGCTGAAATCGACGGTCGCATTCACGGA